TACATAAAAAAAAAAAAGATGTTGTGTCTGCTAAAAAAAAAAAAAAAATTAAAAAAATTCTCTCTCTCTTTAAAAAAAAAATTAAAATAAATAAATAAATAAATTGCAGAAGCTGGCCTTGAACTTGCAATCCTCCTGCCTCAGCCTCCAGAGTCACTGAGATTACAGGTGAATGCCATCATACTCAGCTAAGGCCCTTAAAGATGGGAACCTGAGAAACAGAGGTTAAAGGACTTCTTTGAGGTCACCTAATGGTAAAAACAGAAGAACACATTACTTACCATTTATATATTGCAAGTACCATGACAAATTATTTCATTTATGGCCATAAAGAAACTGAAAATAAGGCTGGGATCATGACTCAGTAGTACAGCACTTGCCTAGCACATGTGAGGCACTGGGTTCAAGTCTCAGCACCAAATAAACAAATAAATAGATAGATAGATAAATAAATGTATTGTGTCCATCTATAATTAAAAAAAAGAAAAGAAAAAAACTAAAAATCAAAGGGCCAGGTAATGTGCCTAGGCTGCCATTACTAATATACTATATACCCAATCATATCTTCTATAATTTAGACGGCCCCATCATCAGCTAATAAGTAGCAGACTAAAACAAAGATCCAGTCTTCTGGCCCTCAACTGCTTGCTCCTTGCTCTTCAGAGCAAGGGCTATAACATCATCTTTGGGATCTCCCAGCCATTTCTGGAAAAAATTCAAAGACAAGAGTAAAACCCTGCATGGCAGTTGTGAGCATTTTTCACAGAATCAGTTCATTTCCATCAGAATACCTCAGTGATAAGAGTGGATGAGTGGCTGATAATATTTATCTTTGGCTTCATTTAGATAAAGCACAACTCCCAGGCCTCTGTAGCTTCTTCACTGTGGAACACTGACATTACTTCTTCAAACCTCAGTATTATCATAAATAAAATATGGAAATATAATCTTATAGAGTCACTGAGAAGATGAAATTAGATAATGCATGTCTAGCACTTATCAAAGAACCTGGCACACAGTAATTTCTCAGTATTTCATTTGTATGTTTATATTATTATGATTTATATGCCTCCAAATATAAATATAAATATCATATTTATAATGTTACCCACACAGACACTAGTAGCCTGTGGTTTTATTTTTCATGGAATCTCATTCGCCCAAAGCTCAAAAGGACATCAACTTCATGGAGTGCTCACAAAAGACTTTTAGAATTGGCAGAGCTTCTGAAACCACTCAGCTGATGGCCTTCGTCACTGAGCTGAGGACACTCACAGCCAGGGCAAGGAGTGCTTGCCTGAGTCCAGCTAGAGAAGGAGCTGAGCCTAGCAGGTGCTCTGGCTCTCCCAGACCAGGTGTCCTTTCACCACACCAAGCCACTTCTCTTCATTTCCTAGCAATCCCTACGGCTAAGTGATACTTCCTTAAATGTGGACCTAACCTTTTAACATACAAAACTTGCCTCACATAAAGATCCCTGTAACTATAAATCCTTTAGCAAAGCTTCAAAGTGATATACCATCCACACTAGCTATTGCAGAAATCTTTAAATATAGAAGCACAGTAAATATTTATTATACTTTACAAATTATGTTATAACTAGAAGGTCTATCATTCCCTGATTTCTAAGCAAATAACATTCATTCTGAATGGGTTTTTCTAATGAGGTGTTTAAATATTCATCTTCAGTGAAAGTAAACATGTAATTTGGATATTATAACTTTAAATGACATTTTATTTTTTTAAATCATGCTTTGACACTAACAGAAATCATTCAAAGGGAAAAAAATATATGTATATATACATAAAAATGCATAAACAAATAACAGAACACACAACACAATGGAAAAATAAAATTCCCAGTAGTTATGAAAATAATGAGCAAAAATGATGCCTTCCTATACAATGTATGGTACTAGTCTATATGTTGTAGAAATACCAATGAACTTACCCACCACAGGCAATATTCCAAGTTTATGTAGTCATCAAGGAAAGAGGTTCCATCCAAGTGGAAGGAAAGCAATTCAAAAATCAAATAACTACATTCATTTCATTATGAAATTAGTAGAATTAAATCAGAAAATCTCTGTATTATAGAAGAGCTTTTGTACTAAAATTAAAAATGATTTAGAAGAAATTTTAAAAATAATATTTCAATAGGAAAGCTAGAATGTTAATTCAGAGAAACCTACTATGTTATACCACAAATGGTACTGTTTAGATACTAAAAATAAAGACAAAATATTTTTATCATTTTTTGTGGCAGATATTCAAGAAATTATTCAGCTGGGTTATAACATGATAATTCATTTTGCATCTGAGGCTTCCAATTAAAAAACTTATGGAGTTATATTAAAATAATAAAACATAAAGGAGAAAAAATCATAAAATATGTGGACAGTTTCTCACCTCGTCTTCCTTCAAACACATCATTGATTTCTCTCAGCAGTGTTGACATGTCACTAATCTGAGATTCCCAAGCTTCACAAAATACATCAAGGTTTTCTTTAGCAATTTTACTAGATGGATGCAATGTCAGTGTTTCGGCAGCAGAAATTATCTAAAGAAACACAACATACACAGGCATGGATTTTTAAATCTTAGCCCTCAGAATCACATTGGAGACCAAACTTAAGTCTGTACTGTTCAATTCAATTCAAAAAACAACTATTAAATAATTTCTACAAGCCCTATGTTTAGTAATATAGAGATACACAATAGAATAAGACCTGGTGTTTCTTAAATCCGACTTACAGATAAACAGTATACATTACTGCCCCTACATTCAAGGGGCAATTATCTTTATTCAAGGAAGACTATTTCAACAAAGTTATTTCTGTAGCACAATTCAAAGACATACACTCTGACTACAAATAGTGTACTGTATATGGTAGTAGAAGAGAAAGTAATAGTGGTGAAGCAGCAGGAGTAATGGTAGGTAGACCGTAGTACTGGTAGTAGTAACATGTACACACATCTGTGAGTACATAGTAGATAATAACATGCTCGAAACACTGTGTCTTATAAATGTTTGATGTACATTAATCCTCAAAAACACACAAAATATTACCCTTCTCAAATAAGCATTATTCCCATTTTATAGCTAAAGAAACTGAAACTCAGAGATGCCAAGTAACTTTTCCAAGGACCTGTATCTAGCATATGCCGAGCTGATGAGTAAACTCAGATCTACCTGACCCACAGTCCAGACTCTTTCCACCACATCATCCTGCCTCTCACAAAACAGTAAAATGGGCAAGAATCTGCCTCATACTTTTACATACCACCATATGGGCTAAATAAATGTGTGAATAATTTAAAGAATTATTGTAGAGACAGTTATGTTTTCATCAAAATCTTGTCACCACCCTGCTCCCGACACAAAGCAAGATTATATTTCCCAGGCTCCCTGATAGAGGGGTATCATGAGCAAGCTGTATCATTAACAGAGACCAAACGTGTGTCTTTCCACAATGTCACAATTTCTTGAATAACAATAAATTCATTTTCATTAATGGATGAATACTTGCAGGTCACCTGATAGTCATAAACTGGGCAAACACAAGTTCTGTTATTCCAGCCTTAATTTCTTTTTTACTTTTTTTTTTTTAAGAGAGAGTGAGAGAGAGAGAGAGAGGAGAGAGAATTTTTTTAATATTTATTTTTTAGTTCTCGGCGGACACAACATCTTTGTTGGTATGTGGTGCTGAGGATCGAACCCGGGCCGCACGCATGCCAGGCGAGCGCGCTACCGCTTGAGCCACATCCCCAGCCCTCCAGCCTTAATTTCAAACAGCTAATACATTCAAGTCACATATCACACCTTACACAATTATATGTATAATTTACATAAAGGCTAAGAAAAGGTTAAGAAAGCCACAGGGGTTCAAGAGGCTGAACTGAGAGCAGCAAACAGAAAGGCAACGAGTCACTGTATGTGGTCAGATGAGATTGGGAACCAGACAAAAAGCTTGTTCAGGGGACAGAGCTATCAAAGCATAGGATTTTATTTTAGGTCAAGATCCTGCAAGAGGATAAGTTTCAGAGTGTCAGCTAGGAATGGTCTTTGCATGGTCATAACAGGCAGGAGAAACTACCCTCTGCTGAAGTCCAAGGAAGAGATTTGGAAGTTCACTGCTGTGGAGATTTTCTTGGGCAAGAGTCACAACAAGTGATTTTTTTTTTTTTTATTAATAGTTGTTCAAAACATTACATAGCTCTTACATATCATATTTCATACATTTGATTCAAGTGGATTATGAACTTCCATTTTTACCCCGTATACAGATTGCAGAATCACACTGGTTACACATCCACTTTTTTACATACTGCCAAACTAGTGTATGTTGTATTCTGCTGCCTTTCCTATCCTCTACTATCCCCCCTCCCCTCCCCTCCCCTCCCCTCCCATCTTCTCTCTCTACCCCATCTACTTTAATTCATTTCTCTCTCTTGTTTTTTTTTTTCCCTTTCCCTTCACTGATTCTTGAAGTCACAGTGTGGCTGTGTCTAGTGTGAGGAAGTCAGAGTGTGGCTGTGTCTAGACTTGGGGTGCTCCTCCTTTTATGGGTCTCAAGCAAAGGGATAGCTTCATTTGGTGGTTTAAAATGTTCAATGGGCTCATGGGCCTAGTTTTTCCAGTATGAGTGTGATACACCCATGCATTCATGTGCTTCTGACTAATTCAATAAGTCACAGGTGGTCACTTTTGTTACCACAATTAATTTATTTAACAGTTTGTGCCTTATCATTGTACTAAGCAGATGGTAGTTGTTTACTTGTCAAAATTAAGTATAGAGTCACTCCACCACAGCAGTGAACTTCCAAATCTCTTCCTTGGACTTCAGCAGAGGGTAGTTTCTCCTGTCTGTTATAACCATACAAAGACCACTCCACCTCACACTTAAAACTCAAAATGGCTTATGGTAAAATTACTGCTTTATAAAATGGAGTAACATAGATTTAGGCACAGTCTGAGAACACAGTCTGGTCTATACATCGTGGAGTAACTCAGCAGGATAGCCTGCTCTCCACAAGGGGTATGGCCATTGACTAAATTCTGTTCACTTTAGCCTGGGCCACCACTTCCATGCCTGGCCCATTCAAACCTCTCTCATGCGCCTCAGTGCTCTCTCCCTGCCCCATATGAAGGTTCAGTGCACTGGACCCAGCAGGGAGTCTGAGGTCCTGCAGGCTAGCAAGTCACAAGATGAAGCCTAGGTTGCCAAGAGGAGGAAAGCCATGCCACCAATCAGGACTATCAATAAGGGAGCAGCCAATTGCTTTAAGCCACTGTTATTTGGGTATTTCATGTTTGATCTTGTATTAGTTGCTACATGAATGAATTAATGAAACAGCTAATATTTTATCTTTCATGTAATAATCACTCTCTAAACAAAGTACTTAAGAAATGCTATTTGTAACATAGGCAGAAAACGGATGGCAAATAAAGCCTGAGGATAGGAACAAGAACTGATTGCACATGGCAAGAAAGCCAAACACTCCAGTTCAAAAATATATTAGTTACCAAGGCAAGTGGGCTGACCCTCATGTGTACAGACAGATATTAAAGCCTTGGTTTCACCCGCTAAGCAGAGATGCCCTGTTTGTAATAGTATTCTGCATATATATGATCATTACGGAAGCTGACTAAGGTAGCTCCCACTTCTATGATAAGCTTTTGACACAGATCTCTAGAGGAGGCATGTAATCTCCCTCTAGCCTCCAACATGCTAAAGGACTACAACTTAACTGTCTCTAGGTTACTTTTACTGTTATTGGATATAACTCAAATATTCAGGAACTTGACATCCATCATTCAAAATTGCAATTTAAGAGCAAGTTCTTTCAGTTGACCATGATAAATTAAATAAGAACATCTGGAAAACTATTTTAGAGCTTGGGCTCAAAAAAAAAGAATAATTTTTTTTTTGTCTTTAGGTTATAAAATTTGACAGAGACAATATTAAATGGAATATCTGGCTGAGTGCAGTGGCACATGCCTGTAATCCCAGTGATTTTGGAAGGTTGAGGCAAGAGGATCACAAGTTCAAAGCCAGCTTGGCAACTTAGCAAGATCCTAAGTAACTTAGTGTGACTCTGTCTCAAAATAAAATATAAGGAGTCTGGTGATATAGCTCAGTTGGTAGAGTGTCTGCCTTGCATGCACAAGACCCTGAGTTCAATCCCCAGCAGCACAAAAAATAAATAAATAAATAAAATATAAAAAGGGCTGGGGATATGGCTCAGTGGTTGAGTGCTCCTGAGTTCAAGCCCAAGTATAAACAAATGGGATATCAGTTTTAAAAAGGCTTTTTAAATTATAAAGAATAAGTAACACTAATAGAAAATTTAGAAAAATAACTCATAATCTAAATAGGCAGAATTTTAACTTCTGCATATTCCCATGTAATCATTTTCACGGGTATGTACATTTTGTATAGTAGCAATTATAGAATATACACAAATCTGTGTACCACTTCTTTTAACTTTGTAACAAAATATTTTGATGTTGCTAATTCTGATTATCATATTATTATTTTAACATTATAATATATTACAATTTCATATTTTCAAATATTTTGCCTAATTTAAGAATAGTTTTTGTTTCAATTGAATTTTATTATAAATAATGTAACAAGAATTGTTTTGTTTTTTAAATCCCCCTATACCTTTAGGAATTATTAGGTTGAAATGTGAGATTATTCTTATGGTTCGTTACATAATGGTAGTTTACTTCCAAACATGTTAAAGCATTATAAACAGCTTCATTTAAAATAGTTATAAACTAGAATTTCAGGGTGCCAATCTCCAATTTGACAGACAACTATATAATCCAATGGAATGTCAGCCATATTTCCAGCATATTACCAATGAAGAGTCCATTATCTTGCTTTCTCTTAGTAGATCTGGCCTCCAGTTATGCAGAACCATTTACACCTTCCTTCCTCAAAATTCTTATAGCAATCAGATAAGACATAATATGGAGGAAAGAATCTGCTATTAAGCCTACCTGTTGGCCAGTCACTTGAAATGTCTCCTCTGCATGTATACAGGTTATTTCAAGAGGTTCTGTCCCAGATACATGTCTCAATAATCGACAGGTCTACAAGAAAACAAGTCTATAGTTCAACTTCCATACTCACATCCTTCACAATTACACTTCATAATTATTACTTCATAATTATAAAGAAAGTTAAATTTTACAAATAAAATTTATTAAAATCTATAAGAATACATTTGCATATTACCAAAATTATTAAAAAGCTATATTGTTCACCAACAGACTCTCTAGGGTCAAAGTGGGAACAAATAAAAGCATAGCATATTATCTCTACTTCCAATCTGATCAGGACTTTAACCAAAAACTGTACTCAACATTTTCTCCTGTTTAGCTGTTGTATCATAAACTACAATTTCTTTAGCAAGCAAACCTATTACTCACCTCAACAAGCTGTTCTTTCTGTTCAGAGAGTTTACAGGCATATTCAGCCAAAGCTTCTAAATTTCCTTCTACTCCAGTAAGTTTTAATGCTTTTAAAACCACGTGGTCAGCATGGTATTTTAACAGATCTGCTGCCAGCTGCATTGCTGTACTGTGAAGCTGCAGATGTTGGGTGTGAAGGGCAATGAAGGAAAGAAAAAAAAATACATTTTGTCACCAATCACCTGACAAGCACTTAGAACTACAGAACAAAAGCCTCAAAGCAGTCCCATTTGATGGGCTGATGTAACAGAAGTTGTGGAGCCCTGGAGAGTGTAGTCCCTCCCAAGGACCAGGTGAGGTCTTTTCCTCTTGCATCTCCTGGGGCTGGTGATACTGCTGTCTGGGGAAAGTGACCTGGCCATCCAGTGCAGAGCAGCCAGGGCTCTTTCATCCTATAATCAATCAGCTCTTTCCCACACAGCTTCTCTCTTGGTCAACAGTGTTTTTGCTACTCTTAGAGTTAGTGAGGAATTCACAGTATTGAAAGTATTATATGGTGCTAAGAGGAAAAATCAAATGGCAGTTCATGATCACTAAGAAGTCTTTTAGCACACTTTTGAAGAAGTGTCAATGTGAGATTCAATTAAATATTTAATGAAATGTTATTAAATACCCATATTGTGGCAGGCACTGCCCTAGAGGCTAGACATGCATGACAAGTAGGACCCAGTCCCTGCTCTCAGTGGTGTACAGTCAATGATGGTTGCTATCCAGAACTTTACTCTCTTCTCTAATAATAAAGTGGATCCCGATGGAAATAACAGATACAAAGGTATCCCAAACCCTAAAGCAATGATTGACTTTGTGGGGGAATGGATTTTAAGCATGGCTCACTATCTGAATATTTCTGAACACTATTAACTCTAAAAATGTTTTCTTCTTATCTTACCTCTTTTTTAAAATAATGTAACAGGTGATTTGTTGTCCTGAAAGAGATTATTTTTCATAAAAACATCATTCTAAGGAAAATTCGACTTGAATTAAGCCTATTTAAATGAAGCAATTTCTTTTTTCCTGGAAATAATCCAATGTTAATTCAAATTACAGGACTTTCTGCAAAATTAACAATAGGATTGTCTGCATTCAGCAACCAAGTGAGAATAATAATAGCCAGAAACAAAGACATTAAGAACTGTTTTCCTTTAAAAACTAAAGCCATGTAAGAATTGTATAAGGTTTTGTTTAACCAGCTTCAGAGAAGCCTTTATTTTGCCAACCCTTTATTTTTCTGACTATGAAACAGGTCCATAGAGATTGAGTTACTTGCCAAGGTCACATAACTCTTACAAATGGTTCTGGGGACAAGCCATTAACAACCATAGGGAAGAAAAAGAAAAAGAGACAAACATGCTCTGTGCCATGTCCTGAAAGCAGCTTTATATACTTCAGCTCCCTTAATCCTTATAGGTTGATGTGGTTATGTCCATCTAAGAGCTAAGAAAATGAAACCTATGAAAAGTCCCTCAGTCTATCACCAAAGGATTTCACGCTGCATTGAGAGTACAGGATTTCAACAATAGTTTAGCTAAAATTGAATAGGATGAAATAGTATGGGTAGGCTTTGTTTTAAGGCATAGAAAACCATGACCTTCTTCTAAGTTCAATGGCGGGTTTGAATGGAGGTTTCAACAGAGGTGTCAGAACCAAGTTGAGATGTGAAACAGATCATCATGCACATAATTTACAAAAGAAACATCCAAAACCCAATTTAAGCCTTTGACTCACTTCAAAAAACATAAAAGAATTATGAAAACAGAGATAAGGGAGAAATTTTTATGAGGAGGATCTCTCTGAAGAGCTTAAGTGCTTATTATGAGGCCCTCTTCAAGCACCCTTCAGAGTAGAGAGAGTAATAAGACTTGGCAGTTATAGTGTTGAGGAGAACCTCTGAGGGACACACACAAGCATCCATGAGACAGAGTCTGCTTCAAGGGTCTACTAAGGCCAAAGCCGTCTTACAGGGGAACTAGTCCTTAAGAACTTTCCACCCCATCTTTCTCTTTTCTCTCCCTGTGCCACAACCTGCGAAAATCAGTAACAGCAGCTACACTGTGGAGGATGAGGGGAGTGGAAAAGAGAAGAGAACACATCTCTCCCAAAAGCTCTGCCAGGGGCTGGGAGCAGCAGAGAAGTCCTACCACTGAATGAAGACTGGAGTGAACCTTCTGATTTCTGAACTGAGATTGTGCTTTAACACTGAAAGTAAGGATTGGCACACATTTTCTATAAATGGGCAGACAGTAACTATTTTAGGCTTTACAGGCCACACAGGCTTCATTTCACTCTCTACTGTGCTATTACAGAAAGAAAATAGTAGATAGCCTGCACACAAAGTGGGCAGAATTTTGTCCCAAAACACTACTTAGGAAAACAGACAATCCAGAGGTAGTTTGTGAACAAACCCCTGTCTTAAAGTAACCACAGAACTTCCAATTACCTGAGTGATCCAATAAGTCATGAGATGACCAAGTTTTTATTTAAGAACAGGGAAATCTCTAGTGAGGTTAATTTAAATATATCCAACTTAAAGGTACAGTTTTATGAGTTTTTTTATTTTTAAATTATTTTTTTCGTTGTTATGGACCTTTATTTTATTCATATGTAGTGCTAAGAATCAAACCCAGCCCCACATATGCTAGGCAAGCACTCTACCACTGAGCCACAACTCCAACCCAGTTTTATAAGTTTTGCAAACACATAAGCCATATAACCCTACTATAACCAATATTATATTATTAGTTTATTACTCTATAGAGGCTTCCTATGCCCCTTTGTAGTAAATATCCCCCAGTTTCTTTTCTTTTCTGTTTTGTTTTTGTTGTATGTTGTAGTAGTACTGGGAATTGAACACATGGGCCCTTAGCCAATGAGCTACATCCCCTAGCCTTTATGTATTTTGACTTTTTTTTTTTTTTTTTTACTTTGAGATGGGGTCTACTAAGTTGCCAAAGCTGATCTTGAACTTGAGATCCTCCTGCCTCACCTCCCAAATCACTGGGATTAGTCTTGCACCATTGCATCGGTTAACATCCCTCAATTTCTGACTTCAGGCAGCCACTAATCTGATTTCTGTCATTAAAAAATAGTTTTTCCTTGTCTAGAACTTTTTTTCACAATGTAAACAAACACACACACACACACACACACGCACGCACACACACACATATTTTGTGCCTGGCTCTTCTTCCCTTTAGTATAGTGTTTTAGTGATTCATCCAGATTGCTACATACTATTCCTTTAAGTTGCCAAGTACTACTTGGTAGAGTTACAGAAAAAGTCATTTATCAATTCCCTTGTTGTGGAAATTTAGGTTGCTTCCAGTTTGGGGCCATTAAAAATGAAGTTGCTGTGAGTATTCATGTATAAGCTTTGAGAATGATAACACAAATAAATGGTGGCTTCAAACTATGACAAAGGGAAAAATTTTATCCATTTTCTAGTCACACATTAATACACATGGATTTCATTCATACTGAAAATTAAAAGAGGCTAAATTTCAAACCATACTTACTTCTTTCTTAAGTTCATTGAGACTGTGACTGATTTTCAAAACAGTGAGTTCCAATTCTTCAGCAATACTTTTTGTTTTGATGCTTTGCTAAAAATTTTAAGAAGTACATATATATAATGTTATGTCATCTTTTAAATCTAGTATTCAAATTTCATTTAAATTGTAAATTATAATAATTTATATCTTTTGATATAATAAAGTATATTGTTAAAACGTACCTGCTTATGGTTAAAGTGGAAAATAAAATCTTAGTTATTTTTCCATACTAATTATAAACACATGAATTTTTAAAAACTCATTTTCTTTAATAAACTCATGCCTAAACTAATCTCTTTCATTTTCTATCTGGAATGTTCATCCCCTTCACTCTTAACCTAGTTAAAAATCAAAGTACTATAAGACCTTACATAAATGTCACTTTCTCAAAAAGCCTTCTCAGGTTATTTCCCAATCTAGACATGAACCTCTTTCAAACACACTCTAAATTTTTCTCTAAGAAATCATTCCAGTTCACAATTATATATTTCATTTTTAGTTTATATTTGTTTGTTTAAAGGCTCTCTTCACCATTAGGCTTATAAAAGTTCCACAAAGACTAAGATCACCACTGAATCCATAGTACCTGGCACAGTACATGGCAGGTCTGAGGTGTTCAATTCTTTAAATAAGTAATCAAAGTCAAATGTCAGTGCTTTCATGAAGTCTTCTTGATTCCTCTTGCTAAGCACAAACTTATCCTATTGAAAACCCTCTCAACACATGTTCTTACAAAAATTTTTTTTTGGGGGTATCTTATTCTTCTTTAAGTTTCTGGTGCCTGGCATATAAAAGGCACTCAGTAAGAACTGCTTAAAAAAAAAAAAAGTATATCTGGTACAGAATTAAAGCTCTGAGTGCTTGTGAAATATGTGAAGGGTGTTAATTGCAAATGTAAGAATTGGTAGAATCAGGCTTCTAACAGAGCATTTCAACACAAGAAGCTCTTTATAATGTTTAATTTAAAATTTAACAGTAATCTACAGTGTTAAATGTCACATAGATAATTCAAACTAAATACAAAATATTGCTTAAGTCTTTTATACCACTCTACGGTAAGATTCCTCCTTAATGAGTATTTGCTCTGTTGTGATGCCAATAAAATATCTGAGAAATCTGTAATTCATATCTACTCTTCATTAATAAATCAATTCAGTTACCATAAAGTAGATGGCTGCTTTGTTTTTCATGATCTCAACCATATTCACCTTCCTTCATCTTTACAGCCAAAGCTTTTGTTTGTGACTCTGGATTAGTTCTATTTCTGCTGTGTGTTATATGTCATGTGAAATACTTTTCTGACATAGCCTAGATCTAAGAAAAAACATATAAATGGTGCCAACGACATGCCTCAGGCCTGTCCCTCCATTTTGCAATCCACTGCTAAGAAAGATGGAGAACACACTTGCTGTTCTCTTTACCAGTCATGCCCAAAGAGCCTCCCATATTTTAAGCACACTAATAACCTATTTGAGGTCCACTAAACAGCTGCCAATGGATTTAGACCAGGAATCTGTCCAAGAATGAAAGATTTTTACTTGCTAGAGGGATCTACCCTTGTCTTCATTGCATCTAAACCTCAGCAAATGTCTTATAGCACTGTGTCTATCAATCAGCTGTCCTCAGAGTTAAGAACTGTACACATATGCATGGCTCCAGCAGTAAGAGTCAGATACCAAGAACCTCTAGGTAGGAATCTACCCCTCTGTGCTTCACTCTGAAGAAGCATTCTGGGAAGAAATTTTGTAGAGGTGAGTTTGGTGGAAGAGTGGAAACAACAGGGCAAACTAAACATGGTGACAGTAGCAGAGTCCGGACTGGCCTGGAAAATGTCACATACTGTGAATGCTGGATGGGAAAGATGTTTTGGCAAACTAGGAGGGAGAAAAGAGATGGGACATCCTCATTTCATGTTGACCAAATTCATCTTCCTGGTGATTATGTTAGCTTCCACATGTCTCAAAACATTACTGAAAAGCTACTATATAAGATTTACTTTGATGGAAAAAAGTTCTTACAGCTTGAATCCACACAGAAATGAACTGCTGCAGTTCCATTCTCGCCTGAGTTGACAGTTCCAAGATGCGTTCCCTATGCTCATGGCTGGTGTAAGCAGAATCCGTGAAATCCTCCGTGCGCTCCAAGATGACTTCCAATGTTGCAGAAAGGTTCTCTTTGGACTGAAAATAAGGGTTCTCCCGTACAGCTTCAATATTCATCTGAGAATAAAAAGAATATACATTCCTGTGAATCAATATTCCCACCTGATAAAAATGGGCTAAACACTATCAATTTCTTTCCCAGCTGAGAGGAAATATAGCCTACAATGATAACTATACTTTTCACTACCCCAGGAGAACACATTCTTCAAGAGTCATCAGGGACATGCATAGCCTCATTCCTAGAGTTGTTAATATAATGACATTCCCAGGAGATCAGTAAGTGCTAAGACAAAAAGAGCAGCATCACATAGCAACTGGCAGGAAAAAAATGAAACAGCCTCCACTTTAAAGTCTGTCACAAATATTGCAAGTTAATCCTACGTAAGACCCATTTTAACATGAACCATGAAAATACGAAAGTTTGGGAAAATCAAGAGATTATACGGGAGTACCAAAATTCAGTAAATCATTCCATCCTAGGTATACAGGATTTTTTCTTTTAAGCTAAGAAAGAACATGGATTATAGTGAGGTATGGAATCAATCGTGAGCTTCTGAATTTAAGAACTTAACTAATTAAAACTTAACTAATTTACATCTGAGAAAATGCCTAAGCAAAGTTCTGTAAGATATGTTACACCCAAACATGAATATGTACTGAGCCCGGGGGATAGGTGTGGAGGGTCAGAGAGACTGGGAAAAACATCAATTTTCCTTTATTAATTCATAAAAAAACTTTCCTAGTCATCTAATTGGTCTCCCTACATTTTGTTTTATGTCTCCAATAGACCTCAATGATTCAGATAACCTCAATCAGAGGGGCTACATAATCTTTCCAAAACATAAGCCCTCTTCTATTGCCATATAACCTATAATTAGCTCTTTCCCATCTACAAAATCAAGCCCAGACTTCTATGATATAGCACAAAATCCTCTGTGGTCTTGTCTTTATAAACCTCTCTAACAGTCTCTCATCTCCCAAACCCCCCAAAAACTTCAGTCATCCTATGTCCGGAGTTGCCTGACTGTATGAACACAGGCTCATTTGTGCAATCTCTCTCTCTCTTAGTTTTTTGGGGTTTTTTTTTTTTTTTAATATTTATTTTCTAGTTCTTGGCAGACACAACATCTTTGTTGGTATGTGGTGCTGAGGATCGAACCTGGGAACCTGGGCTGCACGCATGCCAGGCAAGCGCGCTACTGCTTGAGCCACATCACCAGCCCTCTCTTAGCTTTTGAAGACACACTATGCCACTTTAACTTTTAGTCCATACGAAAGTTTGAAATATGAAATATGTCACAGAGATAACTTGGGGGGGCCAACAGGAAAAAAGGAGTGTGGCGATGATGAACATGCTGATAAGGATGGCTTACATTTGCTATGCACTTTAAAGTCCTGTCACAAATATTGCAAGTTAACCCTACCTATGACCCATTTTAACATGAACCATGAATATACAAAAGTTTGGGAAAATCAAGAGGTTATATGGGAGTACCAAAATTCAGTAAATCACTCATTCTTAGGTTTACAGGATTTTTTTCTTTTAAGCTAAGAAAGAACATGGATTATAGTGAGATATAGAATCAACTGTGAGCATCAGAATTTAAGAACTTAACTAAAACATAAAAAATAGTCATGTTGATCTCACATCGTTTATAATAAGGTTGTTACTTTCCTTTTCAAGAGAACATGTATGTTTTTAGACAGCAACTTAGTAGAGTTTGGTAGAACTTTTTGAAGGCTAGTGATTTGTGTTTCCATAAGATTTGTCCATTTATACATAATACCAAATACAGAAAAGAACCCAATTTCCCTGTACAGATTATATTCCCCATCAGGAAAAAAAAAAATGCCAAAAGGAAGCCACTGACAATGAGCCTCTGCCCTCTGAAGTGCCTCATCCTGAAAGGGTCAGCAGCAAGGGCGGTCAGCAGCAGAGGCAGGCAAGCACTGTTCCGGCTTACTCTAAAACCAGAAACGAAGAAGCAAGGCTTAGATCTGCTTCTAAGCCCACTTGTTTCCCTAGTTAGCCTTCGATGCTTGGCAACAGATCTCCTCCCTCAGCACTTGTAAGAGGAGGGAATCAGAAAACTAATCTCTCAGATTCGGAAACAACATTTCTAACTGGTCCTTGCAGCTTCTGTCCCCTCAGGAAGAGATGCAGGAGTAGGACTGGCATCAGAGAAAGAAAGAAACCTAGAGGTGTAAGCTGAAAGGTCAGATTTGAGAACTAGAGTATCCTGGGATCTACAGAAGGTCCCACTTCCCTTCTTTACCATTCATTAGCTTTCTTCCTAAAAAAGGGGGTGGGGACATAAATACATCCACCCAAAAAAGGCAGTGGGGGATTAAATACAATATTTATAAAGAACATGGCCTCTGCTGGGCATGGTGGTTCATGCCAATAATCCCAGCAGCTAGGGAAATTGAGGCAGGAGGATCATGAGTTCAAAGCCAGCCATAACAACTTAGTGAGGCCCTAAGCAACTCAGCAAGATCCTGTCTCTAAGTAAAGTATAAAAAAAGGGTTGGGGATATGGCTCAGTGGTTAAGCATCCCTGGGTTCAATCCTAAATACCAAATAAATAAATAAATAAATAAATAAATAAATAAATAAATAAATAAATAAATAATTCTGCTACTTTCTCTACTTCATACAATTTTAAGTATAGTAAGCTAGAAAGAACACCATTCCTGTCTCAGCCCTGTTTATGAGGGGTGGGGTAACTCTCAGCATGTTGGAAAACTTCTCAGGGCCTTGGTTTTTGCATCTGCTAAATGAGAGCACTGTACTAGATGTATTCCTGGGGCCCTCCTGGCTCAGACACTGCCCATACCCAGAGAACACCTTTATCTTTCAGACTTTCCACAAGAAGTCAGACTGCCTGGAACCACACTTCCTAGCTTCAAATCCCAACTCTAGTACTTTCTAGCTAGTTAGTTAATCTCATCTGTGTCTAAGTATCCTCAGCCATACAATGGGGACAATGACAACAGTTCCTGTGATGCATATAAGTTCACACATTTAAAGCACTCAGACCAGGACTGGCACAGAGTAAGAACTCAATAACTTTTAGTATTATTGCTTATTTTAAATTTTAATTGTTAATACTATTATAATATTACAGTCTCAAATATTAGCCTTACAAGGAAGAGCAGAGATCCTAGCAGAAATGATTTGCTGACTGTTATCACCATGGATGGTATGGAATTGCTCAAAAAAAGGGGGGAAAGATCATTCTTCTAAACAGGAGGCTATGACTAAATCATACAGCTCAACAGGGCCAGAGCAGCTACTATAAGCAAAGACCATTATCTTTTGTAAATAAAATACTAAGCCAAATGTTACTGAATATTAGGTTTGTATATAGTAATGCTGCTATAAAGAAATAAATTTGCTTTTGTGAAGCATCACTGTAAATCTTTACACAAAAATATGGTACCTTACATAACAATACTTCCTTAAAATGAAAGGAAAAAAATATACTTTCTTTATTCTTACCTTGAATTCTTTAATTCCAGTAAAAATACTGATAGATGAAATATCAGACTCTCCATTTGGTTTACAGTCAGTCACAATTTCAACGACCTTATCCAATGCCACTTTCATTCGGTCAAACACTCCTTCTTTGTTTTTATGAGCTGATTCGCAGTTGGGATGCCTGAGACATGTCTTCAAATAATAGAAAATCTTAATATGTGACCCATTCATGACCCACAAAATCTTACAGAGAACATGTCATGCTAATAAAAATGGTTCTTTACCCAAGTCTCCTGGGTCCCTGGCTCCCCCAGCTGCCTCTCCTCACTAGAGTGGAAGCAGGATGAGTAAAAAGCGATAGCAAGGTTAAGTGAAAAACGCAGAGTGCAAAACTGTATCTGTACACTTCAACAATAAGCTTGCCTGAAATTCTTTGGGGGAAATAAAACTATTTCTGCATTATGATTAAAACCATTTTTTAAATGTTGCCTTACACATGCAAGAACTAAAAAAGAATGAAAAAAAATAAACAAGATGATACATGACTACAGCTACAACTTGGACTTTCAAAAAATGATGTATGTGAAAAAGTACTCAAGGGCCTAAATATGAATGGAGCTGTCTGGATGGGCTTCATTAAGTCTCTGTTTTTGTGGCCTCACTGATCCCAGCATAGAGTAAGTACTCTAGCAGAGAGGTGGTGCTAAAAAAAAACTGCTAATGAGACACTTGCTAGTTCATTCTTGAATTGTACCAATTTGCGGGCCAACTGCTATTTGGAAATACAAGCTCCTGATTGTTAATTTTGTGAAAAGGAGATAAAGGAATTAGAGGTATGAATTTACAGAATAAACAAACTAAGGGCCCATTCACATTGCACTGTTACTTAACCAATCCTAACTTGCCCAGCGTTTTTCTAGAGCACATGGGCTGGCTCCCTGCAGGAGCAAGCATGTCTGGCAGCCCTTGACTCACAGCAGCCTCTCCACCTAGCTGCTCCTCCAAGGCTGACACGCAGATTAATCACTGTTTGGAGCTGGAGCAGAAAGTCAGCATTCTTGCAAATAACTGAGATTTGACTATTCAAGGCCTAATTTTTAAGTCACCACTTTAATCTTTATAAAGGCATGAAATAGATAAATTAGATGTACTTAATGGGTTTTCTGACTACAATTTATAACAGAGTAAAACAAAAACCTTCTTACCTTTGAAGCTGTGAGAAGCATCATTGTACACTTTTCAAGAACTGCCCTAGCTGCTGCCATTTTTGCCTTTTTCTTTTCATCTTTCAAATCCTAAAGATGAAATAATATCACTGAACCGTTTAAGATCATATAAACAAACCAATTTCTGAAAAGTCATTTATTCAACATTACTTAAAAATTCAGTAACATTGTGGGGGGGGGGGCGGGGGAAGAAACAAAGAAAGAAAAAGAACCCAGGACAAAGTTTTATGAACTGTTACGGTCTCCTTCTAAACACAGTAGTCCCCACACCCATATCCACAGTTCCATTCTCCAAGGTTTTAGTTAATAGTTGTCAATTTTTGTTTTACCGTCTCTTCCCATTCTCACTAAAATGTAAGCTCCAAAAATAATAATAAATAATGAAGAGAACGTGGATAAAAAAGAACACACTTACACTGTTGGTGGGACTGTAAATTGGTACAACCACTATAGAAATCAGTATGGAGGTTCCTCAAAAGACCAGGCATGGAACTACCATGTGACTCCTTGATACTTATCCTGAAGAATTAAAATCACCATACTATAGCAATATAGGCCATGTTTATAGCAAGCACAATTCACAATAGTTAAACTATGGAACCAACCTAGTTGTCCATCAACAGATGAATGGATAAAGAAAAGGTGGTAGGTGTTTACACACACACACACACACACACACACACACACACACACATTGTAAAGTTTTATTCAGCCAAAAGAAAAAGGAGGGGCTGGGGATATGGCTTGAGTGAGGCACTAGGTTCGATCCTCAGCCCACATAAAAATAAAATAAAGATATTGAACCCACCTAAAACTAAAAAATAAATTAAAAATAAACTAAAAAAATAGAAAAATGAAATTATGTTATCTATAAGAAAATAGATGGAACTTGAGACAATTATGTTAAGCAAAATAAGCCAAACTCAGAAGGTCAAGGGTCGTATGTTTTCTCTCACAGATGGAAGCTAGAGAAGAAAAAGGGAAAAAAAAAAGTTGGGGGAGGGGTGATTTCATGAACATCAATGGGCAATCCATGGGGAAGGGAGGAAAGAAGAAAAAGGAGAAATATTGGGGAATGATATTGGCCAAATTATATTGTTACAGTATGTGTAATGAATGAATATGGAATGACAAATCCTATCATTATGTGCAACAATAAAAAATATGGGGGAAAATAATTGACTTTAATAAACTAATTTTTTGTAAAAAAAATAAAAATAAAAATAAAATAAAATCTAAGCTCTGTGAGGGAAGAGGGTTTTTTTTAATCTCTTTTATTTACTATTGTATCCCCAATACCTAAACTAAAACCTGATTCAGAGTAAGCAGCTAATGAATACCTGCTAAGTGAATTGAATGAATGAATCTGACCAACATCTATTTTCAACATATTCTAACTATACTAAGGGAGAAAGCATTTTTACCCTGGACATATTCCATGAAAGTGATCCAGAGATAACACTTATCAATCACAAAGATGCCAAAATTTCTGCTAGTAAGTTTTAGGGGTCCCGCATCTGAAGAGTTAAATTTTAAAACAGATAACTTCAGTTAAAGCCCTCGACCCTTTTAAAACATTGGATCATATTCTTAATAGTCTTAGAAAAAAATATACATTCTCCATACCAAATTTCTAACTACAAATTAAAATATGGTTAGTTTTCCATATACATCCAGATGCCAAAGAGGATCCAGCAGAAAGCATAACTGAAGAGAGGTGGCTTTGAAACCTAAAAATCACACCATGCTTGCATCGAGAAAATGTTAGATAATATATAATTATCATAACAATACTCATGCTAATAATTTTATAGGGGAAGAGGAAGATAAAGAAGATGGAGAGAGAGAAAAAGAAATAAAAGCAAAAAATATTTTATAAAAACAGAGACAGAGGAACAGAAAATGAAGCAGTAAGGTACCTATATAGAGAGCTTGATTAGAGCCTAACACCACTGTCCAGCCTGCTCTTTCCAAGCCACTACTCATCTCCCAACTCTGCGGCAACCAGGAAAGTTCACATCCAAAACTAAGGAAGTGACCTATATGGCCATTCCTAGAAGCATCTCAAGAATCTGCTGACAGATGCACAAATTCCCCAACAAGGAAAAGCCAGTCCCGAATATAATATGGGTTTCCACATCCCCAAATTTAGGAGATTATGGTCTGAATTGGGAAACAAATCCATGAAAAACAGATATTATGTTGTAGTATGAGAATGACAGGCTTTAAAATCAGATTTAACTGAGTTCATCTGTCAGCAAAGAATTATCATCTCAGGTTCAGTCCCCTCCTGTGTAAGACAATAATAGCAATACCTACCTCATAAGAATGTCTTGAGAATTAAATGAGATCATGTGTATTAAGGACCAAGCATATAACAGAGCCAGTGCAAATAAATAATGGGTTATTACCATTAACCTAATGTGCTAAGAAAAACAGAAATACATAAGAAAATACTCTAAGAATATGAATGATGGCTCCGTTTGTTTATCTGAGCCCTGGTAGAGGAGTCATTAGAAAGCTTCACAAAAGAGAAAGTACTCGAGTTGGGCCTTGCAGGCACGTATGAGTGTTCCTAGTGAGAATATATTTAATGGTTACATGTGTCCAATAATGATATGCTGGCCAACTAACTACACCCTGGCTCATTTATGAGGTGTTTTTAAGACCAAGGTTATAGATTAATAAGCAAGGGATTTCGAAGACCACACCTTATCCAAACCAAAAATTATGCCTTTATCTAAAGATTCTGAAGTGTAGTAGATACCTACATTTTGTCTGTCTCCAGTTAAATGTGCAAACTCCACCATTTCATTTCCAAACTGACTGAATATCTGGACAAACTCTTGAAAGCTATTAACTTTCTCTAGTCTTTCCATAGTTGCGAGAACCTGCAAAACAGAATATTTTATTATTAGATAATAGATATAAAAGAGACTGAGACTGTCAAGGCTGAGGAGAGTGAAGAAAAAAGGAAGATTCTAAATTCTAGAGGGACGCTGAGGAGGAGGAACCAGAAAAGAAGACAGGAAAGAAAGTGCTCAGAGAAGCTGGTTCAAAGGTCATGATCTCTTAGGGAATGGCGTGGTTTGAGGATGAGGAAACTTGGGCTTACTTGAAAATTAAAAGGAAAAAATTTCTAGATGACTAGATTTACAGAGGAAAGATCATTTATGTAGCCAATAGCAAAGGCGAGAATGGGATGGACTGTGGTCGCTGCTACAGCCTGGATGTGGTTTCAGTGTGTCCTGAGCTGGAAGGACAATTTCTGGAGTGTAAGAGGTGGTGGAACCTTTAAAAGGTGGGCCTACTAGAAGGTGGTTAGGTCACTGGGGATACTTCCAGGAGAAGGGATAAATTCATTCCTCACAAGGTGCCTTGCCTTGAGAGCGGGTTGTTTTGAAGACAAGACAGGGCCCCTCCGTGGTCTCTGGCTTCCTGTCTTGCCATGTGATTCTTCTGCACATTCTTCCACCATTGTAATGCCAGCCACCAGGAAGCTCTCACCAAAGGATGAACAAATGGGTCTGCCTGATTGTGTAACTTCAGCTCCAAAACTGAGCTAAGTAAACCTCTTCTCTTTATAAAGTACCAAGCCTCAGATATTTTATTATAGTGGCAGAAAATGGACTAATACAGTAATCAAATCTGAGAACTAAGAATGTAGTGAAGATAAAAGACAACACAGAAGCTATATGGTTCACTGAACCAGAACTGGAGGAATCCCAATCATGTCAGTAAAATGGAAGGAAGGTCATCAGCAGAATGAGGAATAGAAAAGGAAGTTCAGGATTTATGAGCAGGAAAAAAGTTTAGATTAATCAAGAATTATCAATGCTAAATAAATTCATTGCCTAGAACCTTCAGAGATCAGAAGTGAATATAGACATGTGAATCTATAGCAGAGCCACAGATAATGTATTTTCTTGATGTAAGAAATGATGTAAATAGATGTGAAACATATTTTCAAATATATTTCTCTAAAATAACAGCACTGAGTTAGCTTTAGTCAGACCTAGTGAGGTTAAGAAAACACAGATATCCTGTGTTTACTTATTTTTAATGAGAATATGATGGATATTTGTCATATTAAGCTGCCCTAGCAGCTCAGGAAGCACAGGAAACTAATAGAGATAAGGAAGATTTCCACACCAAGCAGAGCCTCCAACTTTCAAAGAGAAGACAGTTGATTCTGTTCCTCTAGCACTGCTTGATCCACCTCTCCAATTTCTTATTCTCTTTAAAGTTATACTTTCTGATTTCCTCAATACTCATCAGGTGGTTTTGTCTTCAGACTGTACTGGGACAGTCCCTTCCCTGGCTGACTGCCTTCCTTCTTGGCTAGGGAACCATCCAGGGAAAGAAATTATCATACATGCCCCAGGTTCCTAGATGACCAAGAAGTATAACCATCAACTAAGACACTGGAAGAGTTTTGTAATTATTCAGGAATGTTTAGGGATGCTACACACAGAAAATTTTATTACTATGGATGATTATAGTCTCGGATGATTTAATTTTGTCTTAAGCTTATAAATTGTTACATTCTGACTTAGAAAAAACATACTAAAGAACTCAGCAACTAGGTTTTTACTAACTAGGTTTTACTACATTTTTCCAGTAATCCTTAGCAAGCAGACAATGATTTTCAGAGAAGAAACTATATTTGCATTCAAAAGTTTAGGCCTTGTGCACACATTACTTAGGAATGACAGCAAGAACAGAAGAAACAGGGCTGGGGTTGTGGCTCAGTGGTCGAGCACTTGCCTAGCATTCATGAGGCAGTGGTTTGAACCCCAGCACCACATAAAAATAAACAAATAAAATAAAGGTATTGTGTCCGTCTACAACTAAAAAAAAAATTATTTAAAAAAAAGGACAGAAGAAACACTACTCTTAAACTGTACACAATTAGTACTATTAATGATTATAATAGAAAAGTACTGCCAAATTATATGTAATTAACCCAGAGAAACACTTTTAAACAAAAGTATTGCAATATCAGAAAAGCAAGTACCTTATTTCTCGATGCTATTATCTGTTTGATAACTACTCGGTCTGCCAGCAGCAACACTTTTGTTACAGAAGAGAGAAGTAATCTTGCTGCCTTTATAACTCCTGTTTTGTCTGTAAAAATCATGATCTGGCCTTCAGATTCTGGATGATTCAAGGTGGTCACATCTGTAAGCGCTGCAATTGTTTCTCCTAAGAAAAGTGGGGGAGGAGTTACATTGGGAACGAGACACTTAAGTAAAAATCCAAACTGTTTTCTGATCTTGGATATCACGCATGACAGAGGAAAAGTTGACTCTGCAGCATTAGTTCAAGAACAAGAAATGGTTTCTCTTGATGATTGGAGAAATTATCAAATGAAGCTTTCTAATAACAAAATAACAGCACACTCTTTAGAACTGTGACAAATTTAACTGACAAACTTTTGCTTCCACCCCATTTACAAAACAGAATTTTTGTTTCTAGTAGTATGGCCAACTCTACAATCTAACAGCCTCCTCCTCTGCAAGACAGTAAAATAAGTCATACGAGACAAAAACCAAAGAACCTAAATCCAGAATAGAAAGCAGAAGCTTGGCCTGAAGTTGCTTAGGTTTGTACAGTCATCCAAGGAGAGCAGAATGACAAGGCTTTGGGCCCCAAGGGTTGATATGGTCAATGAGAAGTGAAGACTGTCTGCTCATCAGCCTGGACTTGGGGTGGGGAAAGCAAACAAAGAAACCCCCCCCCCTCCGCTCTCCCCATAAGACTTCAAATCCTGGGCTGACCCTCTCTCTCAGGCTTTCAGGTGGAGTTCACACTTCCTGTGGTGCCCAGTGCACATCACTCTACCAAACAGATATACTTCCAACCCTCTAGAAAAATTCTCTTATAGGCCAGGTGAAGTGACATAATCCTAATAAACAAAATAACAACAACAATTTTGGGAAGCAGGAGGATCCCAAGTTTGAGGCCAGCCTTAGTAACTTAGCGAGGCTCTGACTTGAAAAAAGGCCTAGGGATGAAGGTCAATAGCAAAGCACCCCTGGATTCAATCCCCAGTACCAAGAAAAAAAAGAAAAGAAAAGAAAAAAGAAAAATTGTTCATTGGTATCATCAAATAGTTTGGTTTCTATTTACTTAGTGACACAAGGATTGAAGCTAGGGGTGTTCTACCACTGAGCTACCTCCCAGCTCCCACACCATTCATTTTGGTTCTTTCTTTTTTGCTTTCGGCTTTTTGTTTTTCTGAGACAGGATCTCATTAAATTGCCCAACATGGCCTTGAACTTGCAACCCTCCTACCTCAGCCTTAATCCTCATGCCTCACTTCCAAGTCACTGGAATGACAGTCATAAACCACTATGCTTAGCTCTATTTCATTTCTATAAAGCAATATTCATCAAAAACAACACAAATGTTTGTTCTCCTCAAAGACAAAACCTAGAGTAACCTCCAAAACTTCTTGCTATTAAAGTCAACAAGATTTTTAAAATAATGAATTATCATCTTGTAGTCTTCAAGATAATTTTTAAGTTCTAAATAAACCTGTATATCTAGTGATAGACTTTCATAAACGCTCTCCTGTCAATTTTACTCCATACATACAATAATGTCTCAGCCAATAGGCTAAGGATCTTGCAAAAGTACTAGATAGAACCTTAAAGGACAGATCACAAGCATAAAACAAAGTCAGTATTTAGAAAGGCATATCTGGTGGGAGCACATAAAATGGACTGGAAGTGAGAGACTTAACACTAGACTACCACAGTAATCATGGTGGTAAGGACTTTTGAAATGACAGCCACAGGAATAGAAAGAAGATGGTTTGAGAGAGACTGAGAAAAGAAAATATAAAATTAGTACCTGGTCAGTGATAAAAAAAAGAAAGGAATAGTGAAAAATGGCTTCAAGATTGTGAACCTTAGTCATTTAAAGAAAATCAGAAGGGCATGGAAAGGAGATGATAAATTTAGTTTCAGAAAACAGTTTTAAATGATACAGGAATACACAAAACATAAGCCCCCAAATGCAGACTAGTCAGCTGATTTGAAAGTGACAGTATAATTGCAATAGCTGAAGCTTTACCAACAGATAAAGCCTATGGTAGCCAGTCTCCAACATGGCCCCCAAGGATCCCCAACTACTAGTATTTACATCCTCATGTAGCTCCCTCTCTCATCCAAGCAGGGCTGGTGTAAAAGAAATGATGGTCACTTCTGATGTTAGGCTATTAAAAAATTAGAGACAATAATCTTGTTCTCTCTCTGAGGGAAGCCAGCTGTCATATCATAAGCAGCCCTCAACACAGCAACACCTGCACAGTGAGAAACAGGCAGCAAATGCAGCCAATCCACGATCTAGTCAAGGAGCCTGGAAGCAGATCTTGCAGTCTCATGCAACTGTCCCAAATGACAACTTGATTGCAACCTGGTAAGACCAGTGACCCAAAACCCCTGCCCCACCAGAAATCCTGGATTCCTGACTCTCAGAAATTGAGGGAGAGCCACGCTTTGTGGGGCACGCCTGTAATCCCAGCAGCTCAAGAGGCTGAAGGGGGATCATGAGTTCAAAGTCAGTCTCAGCAACTAAGCAAGGCCCCAAGCAACTCAGCAGGACTGTCTCTAAATAAAATATTAAAAAGGGCTAGGGATGTGGCTCAGTGATTGAGTACCCCTGGGAGGAGAAGGAGAAGGAGGAAGAGGAAAAAGAAGAAGAAAGAAGAAGAAACTGACAGAGATGATACTATTTGCAACTTTCTGTTGCTACCTTTGAGCTAATTTGTTTTACAGCAATACAAAGTTTTTATTAAACAGTTTTTATGGCAAAATAAACAAAGCACTTAGAATCAAACCCAAATGAATACAGAAAGGGACAGGAAGAGAAGTATCAGTTTGTATACTACCAGCAATAGCTGAAAAAATAAAATCATTTCCTCTGTTTCTCTGGAAAAAATTTATCCTGTTAATCTCAATCACCAAAGATATCACGTAAGCTTACACATATGTATTATTTTAACCCTTCCTTTTTTCTGACTGAACCCCAGGTGTTTAACTCGTAAATACATGAGATAGTAACATTTGATCAACTCCCAACATAGTTAAGTACTTCCTTAATGTTGTTCAGAGTTCAGAGTAGCCTATTCAGAAATTAGTTCTCTGAAAAAGCACAAAGCTGTCTTACAGCTTCATGGTTGTGGTTTCTTTTACTATGCAACCAGTATTCTGTCTTAAAGTGAAAATCCAAAGCCACTCAAACATTTAAATTAATTGATCCTCCATATAAAATATAAACCTTGCCCGGTAGCCAAGGAAAAAGTAAAAATACAATGCAAGAGTTCAACACAGTGAAAGAATAAAAACTAATTATAATGACACTAATATTTATTGAACATTACTATGTGTCAAATGCATATATGCACTACAGTAAGATAACTCTATGAACAATAATAGCACTTTTTAATTTTTTTTCCAGTATTGGGGATTGATCGCAGATTCTTATACATTCTAGGCAAGTGTTTTACCACTGAGCTACATCCTTTGTCTTTATTTTATTATTTTATGTTATTTTATTATTTTACTTTTTCATTATTTTGAAATAGTATCTTGGTAAATTGTCAAGGCTGTCCTCAAACTTGCAATCCTCCAGCCTCAGACTCCCTAGTAGGTGCAATTATAGATGCGTAACATCACCCCCTGCTAAAAGCCCCATTTTACAGATGATGACACTAATTAGTAGCTTGTGACCCACAATGAGGGAGGCATGGGGACAATGGAGGAACTTTGATTGGGCAAATCGGGGAGGGACGGGGGTAGGAAAGATGATGGAATGAGGTGAACATCATTACCCAAGGTACATGTATGACTGCACATGTGATGTAACTCTATATCATGTTAAACCAGAGAAATGAAAAGTTGTGCTCCATTTGTGTCCAATGAATTGAAATATACTCTGCTATCATGTGTAACTAATTAAAACAAATAAAAAATCAAAAAAATTAGTAGCTTGCCCAAAGTCTCTCTGCTAGCATTGGGAAGAGTGGGATTGGCACATGGGCAATCTGACACACAGCTCTCGTGCTCTATCACCACTTTCATTATTCCCCTCAGATGAATGCTGAGTTGTCCAGAGGAGAAAATGGTTCATATGTACTAACTGGGTCAGAAACATTTCAGTGATGTAAGTCTTAAATCTATACACATTAAACAAACAAACAAAAAAAATGTGGAGGTTCCATTCTCATTCTCTTACTTGAGTGACAAAGTGACTATGAGAGAAAAGGGCACCTTGAATAAGAAGAGATGATGTGTGGCATCCATGACATCTGGTGGCTTCCAAAAGATTCCAGCTAAGCAGCTGCCTGAGCTTACAGTACTTGCAGAGAACTATACTCCACCAGAGCTTGTCACCATTTCCTGTCCTCCTTTGTGCTTGCCCTATCCTAAGCACAATGGCACACCACAAAGCCAATAAAGATAGGACTCCGGACACCCTTTCATTAAAGGGCTTCACTCCTGCTTTTATCAATAGTTGTTACAAGAAACAATATGAAGAATGGCTCTGCATTTTCTGTGCATTGTCCCCCGTCTTATGTAATGGCTTTTATAAGTGCCCACATAATAATTTAGTGCCAGGAAAAAATTCTCTCTCTCCTCTCACAAGCTGGTTTGTTTCCTTTTAGCAAACAATAAGAATTATATAACCCTTTGTTTCTCACATTTTTGTTTTGCCTTTCAGGAAGTACAAAGATAAATTTCATGCTTAATTAAAATAATCATGTTTGCCAAAGTTTCAGTTTTTTTTTTCATTATAAGCTATTTCAAATCCTTTTTTAAAGTAGGAAACATAAATTATGAATAGAATAAGTCTCTCTCTCCTGCCTCTCACATAAGACCTATTCTGTAATCCAGCAAATAGCCAGAAGCCGAGAGTCAAACCAGATCTTCCCTTTCCTTTAGTCAAAAATCTGGTTCCACCGATCCAACAACCTTCATGAGTATTTTGTGCCCTCTCCCCGCTCTTTATAACCCTATTACACTGTCTTGGTCTGGCTGTTTTTACTGTAATGTTTCCATTTTAATCTCTCTGCTTTCCTTCTCAACCCTCTCTCAATCTGTCCTCATATATGCATCTACCATCAAAAAGATTTCTAACAGTCTCTCTCATCTGGCTCAAAATTCCTCAATGACTCCCTATTACTGATAGAAGACTATATTACATCATTCATATACCATGTATGAACTGGCCCTCTATATTTACTTAATCTTATTATACCTTTCCCCTAAAGACCCTTCCAAAATACCTGCTCCTCTCTCAGGGTTGCTCACCTCAGGAACTGGCCATTCACCCAGCTGTCCATACCCCAAACCTTGCAGTATGCACATCTCCTCTTTCTGTCACATTCTATCCAAAATATCAGCAAGTCCTATCTGCTTCACCTGACAACATAGTCAGATGCTACTGCCTTGCACCACCTCAAATGCATTCACCTAACCTAGCTCACCATTATCTGTCACCTGGACCACTGCAACAGCCTTCTGACTGACTTCTCTGATTCTACCATCAGACCCCCTAAAATGTACTCTCTATATCGAAACCACCAGTTGCCTTTTAAGATACTTAAGATCTTTTTTTTGTGTGTGTGTGGTGCAGAGGATTTAATCCAGGACCTTACATGCAAGGCAAGCACTCCACCAACTGAGGTATATCCCCAACCCTATATTTACTCATATTTACAAGCTCCTTGAGGGCAGACTTTTGTACATGGATACACCCCTACAGCCTAGAATAATGCTTGGTTATTGCCAGCACTCAGTAGATAGTTATTGAAAGAATAAAGACATAAATGATAGTTTAACAAAACTGAACTATTTGTAGTCCTCAAAACACCCCGGGTTCTGAAATGCTTCTGGACTACGAGCTATATAGAGAACTATAACAATATAAGGTCTGAAGCCATGATGATTTGTCTGCCATAGAGTATGGACACACACTCATGTTGTAACATTTCTACATGGCAGGAGGTAGGCTACCCTGCTCCTTGAGGACAGAGCCCAGGCTTCACACTTTGCATCCCTCTCATCTCAATAGCTGATGGTGAGGATGACACGTCACCAGTGTGACCAGTGAAAGAGTCCTATGTTTCAGATTTAGAACTTGAGCCAAGAAAAGCTCAATATTCCTGGAAGCTAATCCAGGTCCTCAATGTCCGGGGCGTCTATTATCAGAAGGCCCAAAATCAGTATACATTTTTACTCATAATAAAACAGTAGTCTGTCGTCATATCCAAAGCAATAAAACTGGTATAAATAGACTTCAAAATCAATATTCACATACCTGCTTGTTTAGCTTCAATACAGGCAATACTTATTTCTTCTTTCAAATCCCAGTTTTCATTGGCTATAGCTTCCCCCACTTTAACAAATCTTCCAACTGCCAGGTTGACGGCTTGTCCCACACGCTGAATTGCTTGCAAAGTTTTATCAGACTTTTTGGTGTTATCTTTATGATTAATAAGTGTGGTAATCTAAAAAGATAAATGCAACTAGCTTTAATTTTTTTTCTTTGAGACATAATATTTGTATTTATTTTTGAGATAGAGCAGAACAATTCAAGACACAGACATGAAGACCAAACCAGGCTAACAAGCATGTTTATCTCCTCAAACATCATCATTTCTATGTGACAGGTATGTTGTTAAAAGTTTATGCTTGAGACCAGACTTTTTTCTCTTTGTTCTTTTTAGTTATACATGACAATAGAATGTATTTTTCCACATACATACATACATGAAGTATAAACTTTTCCACATACATACATACATGAAGTATAAACTTCCCATTCTTGTGGTTGTACATGATGTGGAGTTACACTGGTGATATATTCACATATGAACACAGGAAAGTTACGTCTGGTTCATTCTACTGTCTTTCCTGTTTCATGACCCTCCCTTCCACCCATCCCCTTTGTCTAAAATCCAAAGTACGTCTATTATTCCCTACAACCCACCCCCCGCCATTGTGTGTTAGTATTCAAATATTAGAACATTTAGCCTTTGGTTTTGGGGGATTGGCTTATTTAGCTTAGGAAAATTGTCTCCAGTTCCATCCATTTATGGGTAAATGCCATAATTTCATTCTTCTTTATGGCTGAGCAATATTGCATTGTGCATATGTGCCATATTTTCTTTATTCATTCATCTGTTAAAGGGCACCTAGGTTGATTGTATAACTTAGCTATTGTGAATTGAGCTGCTATAAACATTGATGTGGCCTCGTCACTATAGTATGTTGACTTGAAGTCCTTGGGTATATATCCAGGGTGGGATAACTGGGTCAAACGGTGGTTCCATTCCAAGTTTTTTGAGAAATCTCCATACTGCTTTCCAGAGTGGTTACACCAATTTGCAGTCCCACCACCAATGTATGAGGAGTGTACCTTTTTCCCCACATCCTGACCAACACTTATTGTTATTTGTATTCTTAATAAATGCCATTCTGAATGGAGTGAGATGAAATCTCAATGCAGTTTTAATCTGCATTTCTCTAATTAAACTAGCTTTAATTTTATCTCAACTTTTTAAGTTGTATCACATAAGAAAATCAAGCACAGCAGTGGACTAGCCCAATAGATTAAATCAATATATTAATAATTTTCGATATTTCAACCCAGGGACAACACCAGCAAAGTATCTTGCATCATTCCTCAGGACAATACTTCCATTAATTATGATTCCAAGTGCACCTGAGGGCAATTATCTGGGGCACACAGTTCTAGCAGCTCTCCAGATCTTTCAATAAAATCTTAGGCAGGAGAAAAGGAGAGGCTAAATCATTACATTCACAGAACTCACAGAAAACCAAGTACTTCAGGTCTAGCTTCCTCTGCCATATCCTGAGCCACTGTGAAGGTGAAGCCATCTCTCCACTGCAGTCCACACCATGGCCTACCATGGTACATGGGTTGTACCAAGTAGTACACGTGTCACATGTAGTTACAGAATTAATTAAATATTTAGCATGACCAGTGTACTCTATGTTTTGTCCTCTCTCAATTTTGTTGCACCAGTCTCAAAGTAAAATAAATACCAAGGGTTTTAACACTTGGTCTCAGGTCCCCAAATTAAAAAAAAAAAAAAAGATAAGTTCAGATCACTGAAACAAACATAATTTTTAAAAAATATTCAGAAAACTAATACATGAACTATGCTGAAGTATGAAAAATATTTATTAAAGAACATTGCATGAGGGTTGGGGGTAAAGTTCAGTGGTAGGGTATATACCTAGCATGGATAAGGCCCTGAGTTCCATCCCCAGGTACATGAAAAGAAAGGTACATGAAAAACATAGATTCTAACTAGTAAATGTATGTAGAATTTAACTTTGAAATTATTTATATAGCACATTAACAAAGACCACAATAGAGAATTAAGAGAAGAGAAAGGGAATCACTCTTATCCTTTGAGAAACTAGTATGTGCTTGTATGTCAGGTATTAAGAATTTAGAATAGAAAGGCCTTGATTTGAATCTTTTCTCTGCCATTATCTAAATGACCTAGCAAAATATCCTTAATCTCTTTAAATTTCCACATCTACAATGTTTTGCAACATAGTTTTAGTATCTACTAGATGCCCTGAGGGGGCATAGGTAAGACTCATAGGATCCTGCTTCCATTAGGTTTACAGTATAGAAGCCCAATAATTCCATCACACATAATGTATTTGCTGCACACTATCATATGCCAAGTAAAATTTTAGGCAATGATGAACAGTGATGAAGAAAACAGAAGCCATTGCTTTCATGGAATTGGCGTTCTAATGGGGGAGGTGGGGAGATACAATAATTACATAAAGAGGTCACCAAAAATTTTAATGCCACCGTGAGGCCCTAAGCAACTCAGTGAGACCCTGTCTCTAGGTAAAACACAAAAAAGAACTGGGGATGTGCCTCAGAATGCCCGAGTTCAATCTCCAGTATACCCCACCCCCCAAAAAAATGTATAGAGGAGGTATGTACAGACTTAAGTAGCCCAACTTCAACTTTTGAAAACATATTCATTTATTTTTAGGAAATGATTTATTTTAATAGAAATCTGTAAAATGAAATAAAAGTTGAAAAAAATAAGCTCATATGTTAAATGTTAAACCCTTTAATCCACTAAGACCAAGCTAGTAAATGCAAAGACTAAGAACAGAGAAAGCACAATCATCAGCAGTGAGCCGTAGATTGGTATCCCTTTATTGGAAAGCAAGTTGACGATTTGTGTTAAACGTGTTCATAACTCTTCACACAAAAATTCCATTTTGGAAAATATTGATAAATAAAATAATATAAAGTATGGAAATAATGGGAAATGAAAAAAACTTTAATGTAAATGCTATGGAAAATGTTTAAATAGAATAATATGATTTAAAGAATCTGTGTAGCTGCTTGAGATTGTTTGTCTTCCTTCTGTGAGGAAAAGAAATTTAAGCAGAGATCTAAATAGTAGCAGGTAGCCAGGCTGGTGAACACCAGGGAATAAAGCGTTCTAGGGAGCAGGAACAATCAGGGAATGAAGGGTAGGAATGAAGAGCAGGGGTAGGAATGAAGGTCAGAGGTGGTCAAAGCACATTGAGCAAGGAGGCAAGTTTAAAACCGATGTCCAAGACATGGGATGGTAAGAACTAGCCATGGAAGGCTGGGAATTGGAGTCAAGAATCTGTTTGATTCTATGCATCACAGGAAGCTACTGAAATGTTTTTAAGTGGTATGATCTCTGTAGTGGTATTAAAATGTCTTCATAAATTCTCTCATACTTTTCCCTTGAAAACGTGGAGCCTCATCTCTCTCCCCTAGAGTGTGGGCTCAACTCAAAGAACAGACCAGAATGGAAGAATGGGGTACTTCTGAGGGAAGGTCACAGAACACACCCCGACTTCCACCTCACCTGTCCACTCTTTAGGATCAATCACAGTAGGAAAAAAAAACAACAAAACTGCCGTCTCATGGAGGCACTCAAACAAATCCATGGAGAGCCCCACAAGGTGAGGACTTTGGACAACAGGAAGGAAAGGACTGCGGTCTCCTGCCAACAGCCAGATGAGCAAACCAGGGAGCAGATTTCCAGGCTCAGTCAAGCCTTTGAACTGCTACAGGCCCAGCCAAACATCTTTATTGCAGTTTCAGGGCAGACTTGAATCCAGAACCACCAAGTAAATAACTCCAGAATTCTTGGCCTACAGCAACTGTAAGATAATTATTATTTTGAGGCATTAAATTTGGGGGAATTTGTTTCATGTCAATATACAACTAATACAAATTTTGGAACCTGGTTTGGAGTAACTCGATAACAAAACCTAATATGTAAAAGTAGCTTTGAAATTGGTATGTGGAAGTTGAATGGACTTTAAGGAGTGAGTCAAAGCACCAAGTGTCCATGGTGGATGTAGTTCAGTAGTAGAGCACTTGTCTGGCATGCAAGAGGCCCTGGGTTTAATTCTCTGAATAATTTCTTAAAAAGCTAGAAGATTGTTGAAGAAATTTTGTAGAGCACAGTAATTTGTGCTCTACAAATCTGCACATAACAAAATATCTTACACTGGGTAATTTATGAACACCAGAAATTCATTACATAGAGTTTTGGAGGCCAAGAAGTTCAAAATTAGGGCTCCATAAGACTCAGTGTTTGGTAAGGGCCATCTCTTGGTGGATGGTGTCTTGGCATGGTAGGAGGGGGAAATAGGCTCCTTCCGCCTCTTTTATATTAGACTCATTAATGACCTAATCACCTCCCAAAAGTTGATAATAGCACCAGGGCAGTTAAGTTACAAATTATCAGTTGTGGGAAGAAACCAAATCATTGCAGACGTTATAAGAGAAAGCTTAATGAAAAGTGAGAAAAATCTCAATAGAAAACAGAAAAAAGGGGATCCTTCTTATGTAGTATAGAAAGAAGAGAATGTATCTAATGAACTCAGTGATCTAGCTAAGGAGATGTCAAAGAAGACTTGGAGGGTGCTACCAGGCTTTTTCCTATTGATTACAGTAAAATCCAAGAGAAGAGAAAAGTTAAAGGAAACACTGTGAAATAAAAGCAAGAGCTGGCTCAGAGGTAGAGCACTTGCCTACCATGTGTGAGGCACCAGGTTCAATCCTCAGCACCTTATAAAAATAAAATAAAGATATTGCAGCCACCTAAAACTAAAAAATAAATATTTTTTAAAAAGCAAGCCAGAACTTACTCATTTTGAAAATTTATAGCCAAATAGTACAACATGCTAAAATTAAGAAGGGCTTCTAGGCAAAAATCTGTCAAGAAAGCACGATCTAAAGACAAAGGTAAGGGTATAACTATAAATCTTATGCTACAATCTCAGTATGAGCCAAAGAAACAAGTTTCCTAAGACACTTAAGAGGTTTTGTTTCTAAGCAGTTCCAGCAGAAGCCCAGTTAGAGAAGAGCTTATCTCAAAGAGACTTGTGGATATGGCTTTTGTCTAATTAATACACTGAGTCCAATATGACTCAGAGACCAACATCATAAATA